GTGAACCCAAAAATGGAAAATTAGGAGATCAATATTCGGGGCCACATATAATAACTGATATTTTATCTAACGGAAATATTAAACTTCTTGTTAAAGGAAAATAAAAAATTGTTCATCCCGACAAAGTACGTAAGAAAAAGAAAAATTAATTTTTTTTAACTAATGAAATTTTTTAAACTGTATTTAAAATATAGAAGCAAGAATGAAGAATTTAATCTACATAATAATCATTTGGATTCTACAACCCGAAAAAATTCTTGGACTCATTGGATATGACTGTGGACCAACCAATCTCAACGTAACAACTATATCATTATTGGATATCGAAGAATGTAATATACCTGTAATTCAACCACATGTACAAGAAACAAATATTCAACTGTTACAATTGTCAAAATTCGAATCAACAAAGGTCATACAATGTAAAATTTCTGTTGCTAGAACAATTTATTATTGCGGAATGCATTCGCATATTTCAACCGTAACAAATGCGCAAGCAGAATATATACTTCCTAAGCAGCAAAATAGGGCGAAATTATGTTTATTTTACTTTCTGATAGGTTGAAAAGTCTGTTCGACCAAGCCCAATTTATGTTGTATCGACGTCGAAAGAAGATAAGTGGGGAATAAAGTAGAAGTAATTTTACGGTTGAAATTAGGTAACGTAAGGTATTTCGTTCTATAAGTCATAGTCTGATTTTGTGAAATGGACCTAGCAGAAGGTCGAATATCAGGCACATCTTGGTAATTTTGATCAAATTGTACCCTCTTTTCTTTTGGCGATACAGCATTTTTTTGGGTGTCTAGATGGCAGTGCTGCTACATCATGAAATATATTCCACACTAGTTCTATCTACACGTCCATGGTACAATTACAACGTATAGTTCCAACCGGTCGCAGAAACCCGGAATAAAATATTGACAGAGTCCATCAGTACTGCAGTTTTGAAACTGAATATCGTGTAACATGTGACAGAAATATAAGTGCGAAAGAAAATTTTCTGTACAGATTTTTATTTTACTACGCTAAAACCAACGCGCTTTCGAAAACAAATAATTTAAGCAATTATGAAATAATCATTAATTATTTAACAATAATGTGTTTTGCATTTAGCACAATAAAAATATTTTAATCTTATACTTCTGTGAAAAGTAATCGTGAAATAGATTTTCTTTTATCCTTAGTCACTTCGAGAGATATAATATAATTTATTTCATAATGCCTAATTTTAAGGAAGCGTTTTACTATATCATGGCGGACATACAATTTCTCATAATAATGGCTGATTTACCATTTTTATCTGAATTTCGACCTGTAAGTCGAATTTCCCTACTGCAAAGGCCAAATACCAAACTTTGAGGGCAGATTTCCTTATTCAGGGCATTTTTACTTCAAAGTCGTTGACTTTCGGGTACTTTTATCGCTCGATAAGGTATTTTGACTAATAAGTCCGATTTTCCTACTTATAAGTTATATTGACTTCAAAGTTGAGAACGCTGGATCGATATGCATACCTATATATGTATATCGAGAAACATTTGCGGTCCAGCGGCGCGGCGCTGCGAACGTAAACATTAACAAACATGAGTTCACCGTGTGACGTGGTCGAGTACAGACGTGTTTTAACCTGTACCAAGTTTTTCTCGCAAATTCGCTGGCAAAATGGGAGATTATTTCACAATTGTTGCCATAATTACAAAAAAAGGTACTACAACAAAAGTAGAATATTCGTATGTTCCTCATCAGTGGGTGAAAAATGGGTTTGTATTCTGGCCACCTAAAAATTGTCTCACTTTGAGAAACGACCCATCGAGTGCTCCTGAACCCGAATGGAAAAAATTTAAGTGCAAAATAAAAAAAGACTTTATTGTTGGGAAAGAAGAAGCCGAACTGTGGGAAGAGGAGTACTTGAATGCTTCTTGTACTGAATCTGAAGAAAAGTATGTATAACACCATTATCAGTTTTCTCAAATACATTTTTGTTGAATGTTAAGTTTAAATACAAATGGTTTTGTTACAAAAGTAATCTAATATATTAGTGAACTTTTTTGCAGCTTGTCAATTAACCGGCAGCTTATGGTCGTTAACAATGACAATGAAATGGCCAAGACAATCGATAAGACCAATATTGATGTATTATTCGACGATGTTGCATCAAACGTAACGTCAAACGTAACGCCAAACTTAACGCCAAATGTAAATGCTGCTTTAACGAATATTGGATCAAACCACATAAATCTATCGTTTCGGAACGAAGGTGGAATTTTGATTCAAGATGATATGTTTGGCAATGATACATTTAACGCTGCAGATAATGTGTTGATCTCCAAAGATACAGAGGAAGTGTCGCTGAATACTAGTAAATATTAATTTATTTTAATGATAATAAATGTTAATAAATATTAATTTATCTTAAATTTTATTCATCATAATCATTAACATGATACTTTGTTACAGTATTTCAAAAACTTTCAATGATTGAAGAACGTCTAAAACAAATTACAGAAAATCAATTACACATGTTAGAAATGCGAACGTCCGACAATTCCTTCTTCAAATTGACATTAGACAAGATATATGGTATGATGAAGAACTTGCACGTCGGAACTATCCCAAAGCCGACAACCAGCCACGAAAACCCAAATGAATCTGAGTTTGCGAGCAAATTTATTTTTCCATTAAACACTGTTTCTGATGTACAGGCGTTTAACTCGGAAATCGAAAAGAATGCGGACTACAAAACATATTTGGTATATTTTATTTAAATTTTGAAATTTCGTATTCAAATTCATAATCAGTAACATAGGAAACAAAAATAATGAAACAAAATGCTAATATCAACATTTCTATCAGAGATACAATCAATTTTTAATTATAAAAGCTATTATAAATCATCGAAATACACATAGGTATCGCTGTTATAGAGGTTTCATCAAAAGCAAAATCAATTCAAAAGAAAAGTCTCCATTTTATGTTTTATTGTACAAACAGCTCTTCGTTGTAAATATTCTAATAAAAATCTTGATAATGCGTCTGTAAATTGTAGCAAATAGAAATCAGCATAATATTGTTGCAAGTATAATAGAATATAATATTTTGCAAGTACTTACGAACATAAAACAAATAAATGAGTATACATTACGATTCTCTGTCATAATGTTTTCTCATCTGGGGCTACTTTGTAACTTTTATTCTACTAGGCAAAATAAGTTTAATTAATATTAAAATACTAAATTAAGTTTTAATTCATGTGACAATTTATCCTTTTAGCTCAATACTTTCAAAACAATTGGAGGTACCGAAGGAAACGAAGAAGGAAAAATCGTTGCCAAAAATTTGTTGGCTATCTTGTTAACGAAAGAGGTATTGACCAAGTTTTCGTGGACAGGGATCTCCAGAACCGCGGGAGTGGAGAAGAAAGAAGCTTTTCATTCTTGCTGCGGAATCCTTAATTTCTTTACAGAAATAATTCTATTGGCAGATTCACGCTGGAATACTACTAAGAACGATAATTTGTTCAAAATGCGCATCTTGAAGCATGCAAAACAAATAAATGAGGCATCCAAAAAAAAGAAAAACATTCCTGCCAGCAGACAAGAAGAATCTGATAAGGTGCCAGATGCTACTAATCCAGACAATGAAGAACTTTCGTTACAAAATAATGTTCATGCAGGGGGAGACGAAATAGTAAACAATAACATAATTTAGTATGTAATCGTTATTTTAATGTTAATCACTATTAATATACATAGTTATTAATGTACATCACATATGTACAAGACACTTGCTGTGATATTAAAACAGTCATCGTTACAATTTGTGTTTAATATCTAATGTATGAAGCAATGGAATGAAAATAAATTCATTATGATATGGAAGACAAAATAATTTACATTTTATGTCGCTTAATGAATACAAGATCGGGTTACTGAAATCGCATATGTATATTGCATGTCCTTCTGAATTTTTATCGATTATTCCTTTTGAAGCAAAAATATTGAGTCGAGATGATGCAAAAGGTTTCACAAAAAAGTTATATTTACTTTTAAGATTAGCACCGTAAACGTAGATTTTATCTTCGACATAAGTTGCATTTATCATCGATACAACCTGTCCATTATTTGTCAAGAAGTATCTGTTTTTATTATCACTACTCAAAATAAAATTATCTGTTAAATGTAACCGCTTGTAAGCATTTCTACACGTTGGAATGTCATGAACTTGATTAAAAATTTCATTTTCGACATATATACAACTATTTCCTGTACTCTTTGAATGATTCAATGCTGATAATTCAAGAATTCTTCGGCTTATTTGACTTAGTGGCAAATTGCCACTACGAATCAACGTTTTTATGTGTCCAAGATGATTTTCGAATGGATACGAACTGATTTCAGGTAGAGAACCAAACTTTCTAACATCATCTACGACATGACAAATGTTATGAACATTGCTGCTTATTGAATCGATTCCATAAATGTCTATAAATTCCTCAAGATAGCAATTTAATAATGTTTCAGCAATATCTAAATATTGAGAATAGTATTTGCATGAAAGTATTGTAACCGCGGTATTAAGATGTAGAAAGTGTTCATAGATTTCTGGTGATAAAAAATCTTTTAAGATTACGGGACCAAGATACAATAAAAAAACTCGATATTCCGAACCTTTCCAAAATTTAAGGCAATTCAGAGTACGTATAGATCGTTGGAAATCCATCGGTTTCGTATCGTTACAGGTTTTTAACATCTGTGACATTTCATCGGCTTGAGTCTTCGACAATTTCGTACGGAAATTATAACTTCCCTCGCGCCATCCATATAAACACCTGCGCATGATACCTGTACAAAATTATTTATTTATGTCATAAAAAAATAAAACAGTAGTATATATGTATAATATATGACTGTTAAAAATTTAATGTACACCTAAATCAAATAGATGAAGGGAATCTGCGACTACAAAGTCTTCCACCATATCAATTGGTAAATCTATCAAAGGTGTATTTTCCTTGTGATGATCTTCGTCCATTTTGTTTCGAAAGCTTTCATCAGTCCTTCGAGGGCAATCAAATCTTGGGTAGCTCATGTGCCTTCCCTTCTTATCCCATGTACCGACAACTGTACATTTAATGCAACTTCCATTTTCGGCATTACAAGCAGGAGTTCCTATATTGTATTCAAATAAATTAAACATTTCATTAAAAAATACTTATATCAATATATCAAATATATATATATTAAATATTATTTACAATATTACTTACCTTTAATATAACTTCTGGCTTGTGTATCACAAACAAAGCATTTTACGCCGACAGTTATTTTCTGCATATTTATGATTAATCCATCTCTAAGAATTTCGTTCAATTCATGTACAAACTGCTTCAAATATAACTGAAGTGGAGGTTTGCTTTCACCGTAATAGACTGCTGCAACCATCACTTGCAGCTGAGGCATATCTTCAACGATGAATGAAATGGGCCAAAATTGATACAGTGAACTATTGAACGGTGACATTCCATCAATGTTAAAAAGTAATTTAATTGTTCTTTGTTGTTGAATATCACAGTTTGAAAGCGCTGATAATAAATTGTTTCTGATCCCATTATACCAAAATTTGCCTCCACCCATCTCTGTAATCTTTGTTATACTAGGAGTTTTTAAAAGCGCTCTGCCATCTTTTGGCAGTTCCGTCATGCCATGACTTCTCAATATTTTTAATAAACCCGTAATTGAAGCCAATGTTAATTTGTGTGACATTGCCCAATGTTGAAGGTCGGTTAACAATGTTACTTTGTCTTTCAATATTTTTTCTTCGTTTCTGTCAAACTCATCTAGTTCAGGAATAAGATTACTTTCAAACATTTCTTCACGAGTTAACGGATTGCGATCATTTATGTGGATGTCCAAATCTTGTGGTTCCATAATTATTTGTTCTTCAGTACTTGCAACATTATGACTGGTATGCAGAATACGTATCTTCGTATTTTCACTTTCTTGATTTCTCTTTACATTCCGGTAATAACTTGTCGTAAAACGATACGGTTTATATTTTTTGTCCCGCGGCATCTTTATTTCTCTTTAACCAGCAAACCGAAATCGACACAATACTTATAGACCAATAACTCACTCTCAAGACAATTTTGCTACACATTTAGACCTAAACTTGGACCAATTTCCTTTATAGGTCATTTTCTGTGGTAATCTCAACTTTGTGGTTAGCTCCCACACGGCCGCAAAGTTTATTTCGCGCCTAAAATATTTCCTATTAGTCAAGTCGAACACACAGGACATACTTATGGTAAAAATTAGGTAATTCTGACCAGTTAAGTCATATCGCCTACGAGATTGAAATTACGTAACACAACACGGTCACATTTCCTTCAAGAGAGACTCTAATTTTGATTTATAAGTTGAATCGATATTAAAGGCACATCTTTGATCAAAATTTGGTCATTTATATATTTAATGTATAACTTTAAAGTCACTTAACTTTGAAAGCATTTCGTACGGTTAAATTATGTAATTTTCGACCTGTAAATAAGACTTCAAACGCCATGTGACTTTTAAGGCATGTTTTATGTCAGAAGTTGATAATTCTTTACTCAAGTTGGAAAATCTGACTTTGGTTTGGTCAAGATGCGCTGCTTTGCTGCTTGGGTTGATACAACTCTAGATCAATGTAAGAATATGCATAAGTCAGGAAGTCTAGTTTTAAATGTTAACAGTATCATAAACGGATTAAAAGCAAATTATACAACATCGCGACCAATAACTTTAGCGGGATCTGTAACAACAGATGGACAATGTATCGGAACTCAATATTCGGACCCATATGGGACTTGGCAAAATGTAGTTGTGCAAGGAATAATTACAATAAGTCTAAATTCTTATGAAGCAACTATTAACATTGAAACAAATAAAATACATTTAAAAACAGGAACTATTTGTCAATATTCAGATGAAGATTGCATAGATATCGAAGGAAGATATACATTTTGGGAAATAATACCTAATGATCATTGCAAATTTAACCATTATGACATTTTATATGAAGGAAAAGCAAATAAGATGGTCAGTGAAATTAATGAAAAATTACAAATTATTTATTCCTTGTCAACTCAGGACGTAACTTTTGCTTTATCACAAACAGGCGAAGAGCTTCTTTGTGGATATACTTTAATTAAAACAGAACATCCTAAACTGGTAATTCTAGAAATTAAAAGCGGGGAATCTTTAAACAAAAAACGAAAAATTTCAGTAGAGAATTTATATATTTTTGCTTACGTGAATTCAAAATTCGTTTATGTTGAAAAACACATTCGCACACAGATAAATCACCTATACACAGACGTACTCAAACAACGCTGCAATTTGGAACGACGAGTAATGAAGAACGCACTCAGCCTTGCAATTCATGCACCTGACGACTTCGCTTATCAAATTATGAAAGGACCAGGATTTATGGCGGTGATTTCGGGAGAAGTTTACATATCATCAACTGCACTCCTGTGGAAGTAAAAATTCGACACACCCAGGAATGTTACCAGCAGTTACCAGTATTCAAAGGAAACGAATCATACTTTTTGGCTCCAAGGACTCATATACTTTTTAAAACTGGAAGCCAGACATCATGCAATAGAATCATTCCAACAATGTATTTATTAAACGACGGATGGTATCATATAGCACCAATTTTGGAATACAGCAAACCTCCAGAAACAATGAGACCGATGTCTCAACCAACTTGGCATTACAGCGATCCCGAATCATTGGCAGCAAGCGGCATATACTCAAACAACGAACTAGAAAATTTACGAGACCATATCATGTTTCCAGCAGAGAAGAACGGAATTCTAAACACTGTGGCTCGAGGCGTAAGAGGAGAGCCAACCTTAACGCAAGGGATATCTCTTTCACACCTACTTGACGAAAATTCATTGAAGAAAATAACCGCCTGCAGGAATAACACTTCAAGAAAACCAACCTGTAAATGGATCTATCTGTAAAAAGAGCTAAACTTCAACCGGGTGTTTCTGACAAGTAATTATTCACTTTGCATTTCTTACACAGTGCATGTACATAAATTTTTCACGTAAATATTTCCTCTATTTCATTATATACAAATGTAATATATATATCATCGCATTCATCTATTAAGTGTTTAATTAACTTCAATGAATATTTCATTAATACCAACGTATATTAATCGTGTCGTTAGTTCTTCTACTACATTTAAAAATATAATACAAAAAATTTAACACATAATATTTATAAGACTCTGACGTGTAATCACAAATACGAAGTAATAAAAAAGTAATAAGAGCCAATACAGGATGTTAGTGTGTATATAATTTTAATTTTATATAATTATATAATAATAATAATTATATAATTTCTTAATTTATCACAAAATTGGGCATGCCTACAACTCAACCTAAAACTCACAGAACTCAAGAAACTCAAGAAATCTCAATTCAAACAAATGAAGACACCAAACCAACATTGACATTAACAGAAAACATTAAACAACAAAACGATTTAATCTCAGTAGAAAACGAAAAGAAAAAAATTATTATCCACAATGAAATTCAAAATATTTACCCGCGATTATAATAATCAAATTTTAAATGAGAACGCCATGCTTGTAGATATCAATCACATAAGCGAACCACTTACTACAGGTTTATTATTACTTAGATCATATAACACACCAGATAAAGCGTATGTTTAAGAACGAACGTAAGAAGGGTCGAGAGTATAGGACCCAGTCGAACTTTAGACTTGAAAGAGTAACGACAGAAAAAGTGAGTGACTATTTGAAAGTGAAAAGTTCCATTCGACAAGTAAAATTTAAGGTAAAATTGTATAATAGCAAAATACACACAATATTTTTTTATATTTTTAGAAAAAAAATAAATAAAGATGAAACCACCAGCAGAAATTATAATTGACGGGGTAGATCCCCGTCAACATGAATTCTACGATATTTTAAGAGGAAGTCATTGCTTCCGGGCACTTGAACCCGGAAGCCATTATTTCGAGGAAAACTATCCGTTCAGGCGCATATGCGCAGGCTGCGCAATGAACGAAGATGAAGAGGAGCTCCAATACTACACGCGCTTGGAGAATTGGCACGCCTTATGTGGGCCATTTTTCGAGACGACAATGCAGGAGAAAGAAAAATGTCACAAATGCAATAAAATAATAGTAATAGCTCGAACGGCAATAGACTGTGAACTTTGTATACAAAACTATTTATATTTTAGTGAAACACATCAAAACTGCGTAGAAGAAGAGGTAGACTTTGAGAGGAAGGTGTTGATAAGAAATTTAGATGCGATATTCACGTGTAATCATTGTCAAAATCACTTCGTAAATAATACATATGTTACAACAGAAACGTCTATAGAAACGTTGACAAACTTACAACAGACGGATTACGGACTTCGAAATGCCTTATCGATGAGAGCTGTGATCCATTTACAAAATGTAAATATATACTGCATCACTTGACACAAAAACACAAGTAAGTACAAGGTAAAAAATGTATTATGCATAAACATAAATAAATATCTAGTATTATAGAAGAATGGATATCAAATATGTTCGTCCAATTTTTACATTCTATACTGCAAAATTTAAGCATGTAATAATTATAATTGTAATACCATACAACAGGGGTGGGCAAAATGCTGCCTGCGGGCAACGGGCGCCCGTGTAAATCAGCATAAAACTTTTGAATTAAGACTTTTAAATCTAAAATAAATCAGAAGAAAAAATGATTGAACTCTTACAACGCATATGGGGATACCAATGATATTGATTAATAATCAAGTTTCTCCGTGGGAGACATCGCGATCGTCTATCGTATTACAACCCGAACGAAGCAGGTACCATGGTAGCAGGGATAACTGTTGCCAGGGTGGTGTTTCGAACTGAGAACACCTTCCTGCTCCACTTAAAATATCGTGGGGGGATTCAACTATAAATATAAGGAAAATCTTCGGGACAGTAGCTTTAGTTGCTTTTAGCTTTAAGCTTTAGCTGTTCAGCTTTTCAGCAGAGTCTTTAGACCTCAGTTCAGTGTTCAGAGTCAGACAGTTTTAAATTAACAGACCTAAGACTTAGTTGTTTTAACTGTTGATTCGAATTTATTCCGATTCAAGGAATTGTTCACTTTAAAATAAAGTAAGCTTTAGTATTAATTAACAACAATTCATTTCAACGAAATCCTCCATTTCAGCTGATCGCTGCCTAATTGTGTGGCGAATAGATTTCCTAAGTCAATTTGATCGCTGCCTATAGAGTGGCGGACAAAGCATCAATCTCCTACCTTTATCCTTATGACAAGAAAGAAAGGCGGAAAACGCGTATAACTCAAGAGAATTAAATACCAAATTAAGGAAGCCTTATTTATCTTCTAACCAAGATCCAATTTCCCTATTTGAAAAACTGCATAAATTACTATCTGAGTTAGAAAACAAAGAACAAGTTCAAAAATAATTAAGATCAAATTAATCATTAGATTCACACAATCAAGTCCAAATCCCCGGTAAAGCACTTAAATGTGTTGACCGAAAAACGGACGAAACTTTGACTTTGTCAGACCGTGACAGAACGACTTTTTTGGTGACAGCGGTGGGATAATAAAAGATTGTGTGAAAAGAACTCATACGAACAGTAACATTAGTGAAAATGCCGTTGACGCATACTCCACCCAACGAATCAGCAGACGGAGCCGAAATACAGCTGAATGATCTACTGGCAGTAATTACTCAACAACAACAGGTAATTCAACAACTTCAAATGGCTCAAAATCTACAACCTCAACAACAGGCTTCAACATCAGGAATTCCTGCCACGACAGAAGGAACATGGGGTAATTATTTGCATTTTTCAATTAGAGATGCACTAGAAGCAGTGCCAAATTTCGATGGAACGAACATACAGTTCGTATATTTTGTCGAGGGATGTGAGGAAGCACTCAGTATGGTATCTCCTACTCAAGAAATGAATCTAGTTCGGGCAGTACGAAATAAATTAAAAGGCGACGCGCATAGATCTATTCTTGGAAAAACC